AGAAAGAAGAAAAAAGAAAGAAGAAAAAAGAAAGAAGAAAAAAGAAAGAGAAAAAAGAGAAAAAGAAGAGAGAAAGAGAAAAGAAAAAAGAGAGAAAAGGAAAAAGGCATATACATAATAAGAAACTATTAAAGAAAGTCAAATCATTAAGTTATCTAATCCTCATAATACATTTGCCCTAGTTACCCATTCCCTTATACTCTGATCTTCTCGAACTCTTGTTCCACCATCTGCATCCAAGTCTTTGGGGTATCATATAAGACATAAAGAGAGTCCAGAATCCTTAGGGGAAAAAATCATGGGCCATACACCATGGTAACCCAATGCGCCAGAAGAATAATATCCAAAGATAACAATTATCATCAAAAAGACAAGCTTTGGGGGTATTCCGATCCGAAAACCAAAACAAGAGTAAACCGTCTAAAAGCGTGCAGAAGTACTGAATGCACCTTGTCGCCCCCTTGAGGATTCCCTGCGCAGAGCCCAGCCCTTGAGAGCCAGCAAAAGCACAACCCAAGCCATTAAAAGGCCGACGAAACCCATCGTAACTGTGTAAAAGAACATGGCATCCAGGTCGTAGTGAATCATACCATCGATAGTGTCACCCGACTATGATTTGGTTAGTCAGAGATTAGTATATACACGCAGGTCGAAAAATCAAGAAGAACTCACGCTTGCGCAGAAGATGATACCGCCAGCAATCAGACCGAATGCAGCGAGCAGCTCTGTAGGTGGTCGGGACGGCATGACCGAGCGGGGTGGGCGGAGATACATCAAGACATAGGTGAAACCGCGGGCGAACGACGCACCCGTAAGCATGTTGCCCCATTGCTTGTGAACCATGCTGGAGATCATGGTCTGCTGTGTGTGCGAGCTCATCATGATTCCAAGGAGCAGGATGACCAATGCGGGAATGGGGTTGATAGAGAACTCATACTGCTCGGGCACTCGCAATGCTTCGCGCTCCTCGTCGCTATATGCTCCGTCGGCATGCAAAAGGGCCGCCTCAGAGACGGTCGTGTTGAGCAGCTCGCGGATATTGGTCGACTCAATGAGCATAGCCAGCAATCCACCGCCGATGAACAGGACCGTGATGGAAACATGCTCCAAATCCTGCGGGCTGAACTCGGTGTTGCCCACACTTGCGTTGCCCAAGTGTTCCAGGAAAATGTTTGTTGACCCATAGAAAAAGATGAGGAAACCCTCGACAAACTCGGCCGATGGTCGCCACTTTTGCGAGCTCTGCTTGGGTCTCACGTTCCAAGCCTGTTGATTTGGTCAGTAGAGATTAACTAGAATGGGTGCTCCCAAAAGGTCGTAAATTGCCTACCCAGCCAAGATCTCCAAAGCTGCCGGACCACCTGCCCAGAGTGAGCAATCCCAGCCAGAAGAAGACGCTGCCCTTGATCCAGTGGGCTAGGCCAGTGAAAATGGCATGTCCTTCCTATAAGATGGCCGGTCAGTATACCTATTACGCACTATACACGCGGCTTTGCAAGAAACGTACAAAAAATCTAGCCCATGTGACAATACCGGTAGTAAGTGCGATATAGCCAAGAATAAGTATGGTTCTGTCAACGGCGCTGTAAGCCACGTGCAGAATCTTCCAACTCCTGGTAGAGATCTTCCCGGCAGCCCTGGCAAGAAGCGAACTGCTCTGGTATTTGGACAGGTTCAATTCGGCGGGCTTCAGTGCAAGATAATCGTCGTCTTCGTCGTCGTTGCCATGAATATAGTCCATGCGGTGGTCATCCATGGAGCTCGGAGACTGGTGCCCGGGCGAGTTTGAGAGAGAATCACTTCTCAGGGACTCGGTATTGGGCTCAGTCCCTTGGCCGCTATCGTATGACTGCCTGTACTTATGCATGTGAATAGCATCACTAATGCGCTGATGCTCGGCCATGTTCTCGGTTGAGACTGGAATGAAGGCTTGGCGTTCCTCCGTACCAGGGCCCTGGCGCTGCTGTGATTCCGAGCCAGCCTGCCGCATAGCGCCAGCCACGCGGCCCACCAGACCAATGAGTACCTGGGCAGAGACGACCCAGGTCGCGATCCAACCGATCTTGTGGTGAGCGTTATTTGGATACAAATCTGGCGTCTGAGCATTGTAGCTAATGCCAAACACCAGCGCCAGCGCATTTGTTGCGAGAAAGACGAATTGGACTGGCAGCGTGTACCGCGATCGTGCCAGCGAGAACATGACACCTGGAAGAAGAAGACGGCTAGGTTAGTCATCTCGTGCTCTCAGTACGGTGCTTGTCGACTTTGCCTCACCTATGGGTAAAAACACAACCCAGCTGATGGCCATGAGCGCAACGTGCGCGTATATCAGGCCGCGGTGCTCTGGGTGAGTAAAATACGTTGGCGCATAAGATTCAGGATCCGGCTTGGGATCTTGAGCGCTCATGTCCATCTCTCCGGCCATGTCCATATCCATGCCAGCGCCTGCATTCTCGTCTCCATGGGCGAGGACCGCTGGCAGTGCTCCCAGAACCATGGCTGCCGCGAAGAGCAGTAGCCATGATGATCTCGCCGCCGACCTCATGACTGCCTGATCAATGAAGCGGCAAACGTGGCCCACAAACACCCTTCACAAGTCGATTTGTGCTGTGTTTGAAATCAAGAGCAGAATGTCATGTAAGAGTTTTGTACCACGGCAACAGGAGTTTTTTTTCTCTCTTGTACCCGCCGTGCTGCAAAAATGCTGCTGCGATTTACAACAAGGGGATAGCAGCAGTGAAATTGCGTGTATTATGGTGATGCTCAGTAGTGGATGCGACGGGTTTGCACAGGCATTTATTGAGTACCTAGGCGCCTGGGCAGCCGACGGCTAGAAATTGTCACGAGAGGTAGTTTATAATCCCAAGCGGAAGGGACGGAAGAGGCGAGGCGGCGGATAGCTGCAGCAGTTGTAGCAGCTACAACAACGATGACAACAACGACAACAACAATGCCGATGTTGGTGATGATGACGAGGGAAGAAAAGATTAAGAAATACAAGCTTAATATTGTAATAAAGGGTGGAAAGTGGCTACAGTACGATTTATGTATTTATCTCGGCAGCAACTATTATGGAACCACCTGGATTACGTCTTGGGCAAGCGCCAGTCAGGCCAGGGCAGTCAATCATCAGTGATGAGGTCGAAATAATGTCCGTGTTCTTTCCTCGTCTGCTGGGCATATGTAAGCAACAAGGCCGGTCGGTCTGCTCGGCGCTGTGGGGAGGTTTTTTTTTTTTTCTCTTGGTGGCTAGGATGGATATGCTTTGAAACCCCGTCAGACCCCGGGTGCGACGAGGGATTCCATAGCTCGCGATTCGCCATGTAGCCCAACTCGGTCGAGGCATCAATGATCATGAGCCAGAGACGGTAGTGGCCTGAGTCACATGGGGGAATGACATGCAGATCCGAAGCTTCCGGAGAGCAGCACATTTTTCTTCTTTTTTTCTTACTGGTGCTATCTTGCAGCAGCAAGGGAGGGAAGGGCAGTCAGTAAAGTAGTAGTAGTCAAAGTAGCATGTAGTACGTGAAGGAATCCAACGGAAGAAGCACCCAAGACCAACAAATGGTGGTAATAACAAATAAACGGCGGTAAGCATGTCAAAAATAATTCAGGGTGGGGTGCCATGATGGATGGAGCTATGTATGTACATCCTTCTTCATCAGACATGCATCAGACACTGCTACTGCATTACAGTACCGACATATACACATACAGTATTCCCGTCGTCGGCTGCAACCAATTCTCTAGGTTAGTGAATCTACCTATACTCGTACCAGGTGGTCATGCTGCCTGCCCATGCCAACATGCATGTGTGTGGTTCGTCGGTACGTAGGCGCATGTACGAAATATGCTGTATGTAGTATACTGTAAAAGTGGCACTGTAGAAGGGATCGTCAGGATTTTTTTTTTCTCTTTGGAGACGGCGTCATTAGGCCCACTTGACCCTTTCCGTCTCTTTGTCGCAAGCGTGAAAGCCCAGAAGAAAGCCTTGCAACTCAACCGTGCCAATGCAATTCGGCCCCCCCTTCCAGCTACTATGACCCAATGGTGGCTCTACTATAAGTCTTGGCGCCTGGGTAGGTTTCATGAGAGAATGGAAAAGGTAACGAAAAGAATAATAAAACTGTGCTTCTCTCCTCTCCTCCCCACTCCACTACTTGGGCTGCCCTGCTGGGGGCTACGGGCAACGGGTTACGAGAATGACGAGCCATAACCCCGAAACGCGAAAGACCGTGCTTGCATTTGGGGAGAAGGAAAAGGTGCTTCCTTCTTTTTTGCCTTGCAGCCTAAAACAACGACCTAGACGGGATGACGGCTGACATGGTTGGTCTGCGATTTGGTGAGACTTGTTTTTATAGACTAGAAGAGCGTGGATAAGACTGTACATTCCGAGTGGTACAGATGATGCCCCAAGGGATCTATCATCTTACCATCCAAGTCGACGACAAGACAAATGCATCAGCTACTACGTACGTACGACTGCTTACAAATGTATAAGACACAGACCGTACACCATAACCTACCACATTCCTAGATTACCTACGTCCCTAGAATGTACCCTTTGCGTTTCCCTCTCGCTCACTTTCAGGTGACGTGGTTTAGTTGTTTTGCAGGTTGTCCCCGTCGGTCGTAAGCTAGGTACTGTCCGGATTTGAAAAGGTGAAGAGGGGAGGGAGAAAAAAAAAAGAAGATGAGTAAAACAAAAGTCCAGTTGTGTTTGTCTTGTCATATCCGCATTCTGTAGGTAGCACGGTAGTAATTGCAAAATGTCAGCCTTGGCTTACCTTGGACTGCTTGGCTCGGTAACCGGCAACAGCTGATAGTGTGAACAATTTGGAGAATGCCATCGTCCATTGTACTTACCTCATGCGCAAAGAACAGGGATTCTGATGGGTTGCATCCATCGTCTTGTCTTTAAAGCGTTTAGTATGTATGCAATGCAGGACTCGGGCGGTAGTACCTCTTTTGGAAAAAAAAAAAAAAANAAAAAAAGTTACCTAGCCTTCTGAATCAGCCAACAGACAGACCTTAAATGCCGGCCGATCAAATATGCCTGCCTACCTATACTGCGGCCCAGTATAAAGAACACGGTAGAGCAGTAGTAACAGTATTAGTTCTATAGCAGTAAAAGTGCGTACAGCAATAACATGTATTGATAGCTAATGATTGAATGAGCTTGCTTGGGTATTGGATGGATACCTATGGACCTGCGTCATGGAGAATACTAGCAGTTATTACGATAATGGGCAAAGACCATGCTCGCAAATCGTTGGGGAATGATCACGATTTGGGATCATTATGCCTATTAATAAGAAAAAGAAGAAGAAGAAGAAGAATTTGGTTTTTTCTTCTCTTAGTCCTTCTCTGGGCCCCGATCTCTTCCATTAGTTGCGAGCTCAGACAGGTCCAAACCCGCAGAGGGTCCAAGCTGGCAGGCTTCCTGGACGTTGCATTTCTACATACATAGTACGTACCAGTACTAGGTATGTCTGTGAATGTGGTCTCATCTCGAACGATGAGCAGCCCTTGCCGCATCATGCTTGGTTCAGATCATAGATCCGCACACGAATGAGTGCTCGGCTCAGAATTGTCTGTACAATCACTGCCTGTTTCATAGTACGCATCTATGTACCAACTAGGTAGATATAGACTCCTGTGACATAAAAGTCGCCTACAAGTGGAATCGTGGGCCATCATTTGGCGATCATCGCTCAATCGTACACTGCCCGGGCGAAGCATGCAGACAGGCAGAGCCCTGCCGTGGTAAATGCACATCTGATTCCATCGACATCTGCAGATCGCGGGATCGCACGAGGGATCGCCAGTGTCAATTATGTTACATAAGTGGTCGGCTGCCGAGCTGTCCGTGGCTGCTCAAGGATCACGGAAGGAAGGCATGCAAAATGCCGGCGAGGCAACCGGCTTTGCCGGTGACTCGTCGGACTCCGATTGAAGTCCAGCCAGCGCCCTCATTCAAGCTGATTGATTGGTCGAATCAAGCAGGTGGTCAATCCTGACATGATCTGCCTAAACTACAATGATTTGTGGCGAGCCTTGTGTTGAATGTGACGAGACTCTTCACAAGCTATACGCCGCGGGGTTATAGCGCGAATCCCCCCCCCTCGCCCAAAAAAAAAAACCTTGTTTTGAAATCCCCTTTAAGTCCGTCCTTTCTACCTTTCTACTCCCGCCAAAGGTGCTACCCTATTCTTCCTACAAGTCCAGCAACCCGCTATCTTTTCTGCTTGTGTCTTATCACGGAGTGGTGCTTGCATCAATACTCTACAATTCCCAGGTTCCTGTCATTGATCGTCGATCAGAGTTTGGGGAGGACTTGATGAGATCCGAAGGTTAACAAATCTCACGTCAGGGCGCCATGCCAAATTATGTCAGGCCAATGTGGTCTAGAGCAAGACCTAGATACGCCCTACGTAAATAGCTATACCCGTCTGATCCAGCTGAACGCACCCAAACAGCTGCCAGCTGCAAATACAATCAACATCTTGACCATTGTCCCAAAATAACCCATCTATGTGCATACAAGACTCAGACATGTGTGTATAATGTGCAATCTGGACGTAACATCGCGTACGGTTTGCCTTGGGTGCATTACGATCTATGACCATCGGGCTGCTTGGGAATCCCACTCAAGGTAAAGAAAAGTAACCGAGCAAAATCTATCAAGTACAAGGTCTCTATTTAGCAAGCAATTCGGATTCCCTATTTTGATTCAAATAATTATAATACTCTTATTTAAGAATTTAGATTGATTTTAGGGGGAAAATTCTTTTAAAAATTTATATAGTAATATATTCTGAAAAGATATCCCATTAAAGCACAAGCGAATGCCATATTTCAAGAATATCTTATTATAGACTAGATTTATCCTTAAGTCGCCACCTGTCGCCATTATCAAGCGAAACCTTGCCTTCTTTTTGCAGCTTTTGGAGGATCTGCACAACGCCGCCGACGGCCGGGCCGTGGAGATTCTCTGGATACGCGGCGTAAATAACCTTAACCAGCTCAATGGGACTCCATGCATCGCTTTGTGCTGCTGCGACTGACGGTGAAGTATCACCAGTCTCCTTGAGCGCATCAAGGGTGAGCAATACTTGCTTCTCGCGCTCATATCTATGAGATATATACTCGGAGATCTTGGCCGTGACGTCCGGGAGGACCGGGCCATGTCCGGGATAGCCTCTCCCCGAAACCAGCTTGCCCATTTGTTCAAGACTTTGTAGATAGGCGGCGAGATCCTCAAAGACAGCGGTGCCCTGGCCCAATACATTATCACCGGTGAAGAGAGCGTTCTCCTCTTTCAGCACAAAGACCATGTGATCAATGGCATGGCCTGGCGTATAGACTGCTTTGAGCGCCGCGCCCTGAACCTCAAACACCTGGCCGTCCTTGATATCCAGCCAGCCCGTGTGGGGATCGCGCTTGTACACAGTCGTCTTGGGTGAGATCCTCAAAAGGTCGGGCACGCCATCTATGTGGTCGTGGTGCCAGTGCGTGAGCAGGGCGCTCTCAATGGATGCATTCTCCTCGGCAAGGATGCGCTTCAAGGTGGCGATCCACGATGGCTTGCCCTCCCCCGTGTCAATGAGTAGTCGCCTTGGTCCCGTTCCGAGGAGGTACGTATTTGTACCCTGCAAGCTGAATTTGCCCGGATTTCCGCCTAGTATTCGGAGAACTGCAGGGCTGAGTCTTTCGACCTCAGGTAGTGACACAAGTTGTGCCGCCATCCTTCTGATGCTGGTGGGTATCGTGGGGGTCAACCTCATCTATAGTTAGATATAGAGAGGCCGGGCCGTCGCCGATGCCTGTTTCAAAAACGGCTTCGATGAGCGCGCAACACAGAGGCGCGATACCGGGCTCTATTGTCGAGTTGCTCGCTTGCCGAGCCGAGTTCTGACTGGGTCCCAGTGACGATGGTTCGACCTCACCTCGCTATCTTTCGAAACCCCAGACTGACAGGTACAAGGAAGAACGCGAAGGTCCTCGAAGTGGCGAATTCTTGTCTCTATCAGACGTGAGAGGACGACGCGTCAATAATCTGAAACGGTTTCTATGATGGGCAACGGAAAGGAACAACCGCCATGCTCAAGTGAGAAGTGGGTAGAACCTGGAATGGTGAAGAATGATAAGGCGGAGGGGAGCGCTGGAGATGCCGAGGTTCTCATCGATCACGACATTAGGTATGCACATTGTAAGCTTGAGTTGGTTAGGGCAATATGGTAAGTACCTACTCTGTCATGTACATTAGGTGCAGTAGGCTTCGGTATTGGATGTAGGTACGAAGTACTGTAGGTTGGATAATTAATGTAGGTAGTCTGAAAGCGCTCTGCTGACTTTTCCATAAGCATACCTATGAAGGTTCTGCTTTCGCCAAATCAGACTACAGATAGATACACACGCTTTGCAATGATGCCAGATGGAATTGGAATAAAGAAAAAATTGTCGTCGACCCCTGAACGAGGGCATGGAAAGTTTTCCATCGACGACTCGAGTAATAAAATAGATATTCCAGACTATCTACCTTGATGTATACATTATGCGAAAGTTCTTAGAGAGTACCTACCCACCTACAATTATTACATACATTAGGCACAACTGGAAATGACCGTGCCTAAGCCCGTAATAAATGTACATTGCTTCCCAAGGTCACAGGCCTTTTCCCCCCGGAAGCTTGGAGCCACAGCAGCGGAGCGGTGGGATTCTGCGCTTTACGCTACATTATAACCTTGGTAATCATGCTGGGATAAACCCCTGAAACCCAGCCACTAGCGCTCCAGATAAGATCTCTCATCAGGTGCTGATAAGCAATTTCCAGCACCTTGTCTTTCGCCTTACAGCAGCTACGACTGTAAACGAGCAGCTTCATGTAATGAACTGGACGTCCTCTCACCTTGAGGAAACTAAAGAGCCACAACATACATGAAGCGAAAGCAGCAAACATCTCTCCACGAGCCTTGTTGGAAGCAGCGCAAAAACGTACGTATCTTCTCTGGTTTCCTTTCATGCCCTTCTGCGCTGCTGTTCAAGGTTACGTTTGGGTTATGGTGGGATGGACGCTAACAATCCGTAGCACTTCGGTCGCATTGCATCGCTACATGTTATTGGCAACTCCACGATACCCTCATAATCGTCCAACCAGGCCATAACATCTGTCACCCCGGCCTTTGGATTCACGAGACGAGCTATTCTTTTTCTATACGAGCACAAGCAGTGCGCCAGTCTTCGCCAGACCTGCTTCATTTCCAGCTTCATAAGTAGACCACCTGCGTGTTGAACCTGTCTCGATTGGCCTTTCCTCTACGTTACTATCTGCTGCCCCAGTCGCATCCAAGCATTCTGCGTACGGAAACCTCGCCGGCTCCACACATTCACGACATACCCGTGATAACGATCTGGCACCAGTATACTCATCCAAGAGGGCAGTGAGCTTGAGTTCGAGCATAAAAGCAGCCATTCATTGTCGTAACGGGTCATTCGAGAATCAGCACAACATGAGCGCGCGGCCAAACGAGGCGGCTTCTCCGTCCGTCAAGATCAAGTCCCCAGAGGCTGGCACACCTCTATTTGGTTGTGGTATGTGTGGCATCCTTAACCTGTATCTGGCTACATCTTGTTGTTTGCTGAGACTATGTGAATGAATGTATGCTAACCCATTGCTTTAGAGCATGTTCAGATTCTTCTCTCCAACAGCCCCGATGTCATGGCAAGCTCTATCCAGTATTACAAGATGCTGCTCCGCGTGATATACGACAGTACTGCTGTCGTTCCACAGACCTCAAAAATTCCCGAGGGCATCATTACTACCTCGCTGACGTCCAATTATCTTTGCTTGCAATGCTCCGCCATCGTGCCAGAAGAGGAGCGCACGAAGCATGCTTCCAAAAAGGGCCACCGCTTCTACGTCGACTCGCGGACTGGTTCCTTCTACTGCCATCTATGCGAAGATTTCGTATGGGACCCGACGTTGGAAGAGCTGAGAGTCAAGAAGCTCGGCACGGGCACATTTAGCGGTAGGTCATCAGAAAAGCACCAATCTCCTTTGTCAACGGGCTTGGGCACGCACAGCCCTCCCCTGGCTGGCGTTCCTATATGCATACGAACACACATGCATACTTATATACAAACATATACCACCACAAGGTCTTTTGATCTGTCCCTTTGCCAGCGCTTGACTGACATTTTTCCCCAGGCCGTAAGCGAAAACATGAGGAACTGTTCTCCGATCCAGTCAAAGATGACCCTCGATATATCCCCAATAATACCACATTGGCTTCATGTAAAGCCGATGGCTTACGTGGTATATACAATGCTGGTGCGACTTGTTATCAGAACGTTGTGCTGCAGAGCTTTTTGCACAATCCGATTTTGCGGAATTTCTACCTTAGCGATGGGCATCACGAGGGAGACTGTGAAGTCTCTCATTGTCTGAGTTGCTCCATGGACGCTATGTTCCAAGAGTTCTACGCAATGGAGAACACTAACGGTTATACCGCCGCCAACATCCTTTCAGGCTTCTGGATCAGTGAGAAGAAGGCCTTTGAGAATCTGGTGACCACAAAGGAGCAGGATGCCCATGAGTTCTTCCAGTTTCTTGCTGAGGAGCTCCACGAACGCAACGGCGACGGCAAGAGACCAGAGACGGGCAGCGAACACAGCTGCAACTGCATCATCCATCAGACCTTTTACGGAAAACTCCAGAGGCAGACCACATGCCAGTCGTGTGGCGGCGTTACGGACGCAGTGGAATCGTTCTTGGATCTCAGCCTGGGACTTGACAACCTGGCCCAGAAGCGTAGCAAGAAGAACAAGAATGCCCCTGTCAGCCTCACCCTGCAGGAGTGTCTCGATGAAGAGTACATCAAGTCAGACAAGTGCGATTACCGCTGTCGGAACTGTGACTCTATGCAGCAGGCCCGGCGCGACAATAGCATCAAGCTACTGCCCAACACGCTATCTATACAGCTCAAGGTATGCCGTCTGATCTCTGTCGTTTGAGAGACTGGCAAACAAGCAAGAAACTGACTGTGTGGTTGCAGCGATTTGAGTACAAGCAAGGCATTCGAGAGACAAAGGCGTCAAAGATTGAAACACCAGTACAATTTCCGTTGACATTAAACATGACTCCCTACACGTCTCGTGGCAGGTCAGCAGCCGGACAAGAGAGCCAGGAGCTCGCTCGCTCGTGCACATACGATCTCCTATGTGTCGTGGTTCATGTGGGAGAAATCGACACGGGGCATTATGTGTCATATTGTCGGGTGGGCGACCAGGTAAGCATCTCCTTCCCGCCAGCCCAGTCCCTTCAGAGGCTAACGTACTGGAAGTGGTTTGCATTCAATGACCACCGCGTGGAATTGGCCACCAAGTCAGAGGTCCTAAATGCCAAGGCATATCTCTTGTTTTACATTATTCGCTCCTTATCATAAACGTGGACAGATAAAGAAGAAGTCGAGGTCTGTATGAAGAAGCAGTCATTCGCCTATGCAAGCGTACTGCTTGTCAACGGAATGGTCAAGAGCACAGAGTATTGAGGAGGGAGAGGAGAGGAGGGAAAAGGTGGGAAAGAAGAGAAGAAAAGAAAACTTATGATACCTTGACAGCATTCGCTTTACGGAAACGCAGAAAACGCATAGCCACGGCCTGATTTAGAGGAGCATCGGGGCCAAATTCTGTAAATTATGTGCTCCAGGCGGCGTTGGGACAAATTCGATTTTTCTCTCTTAATTAAACAACGCCGATAGTCGTTTGTATCACACATGAAGACGTTGCAGGCATGTTTAATTTGGCGCATTAGTTCAAAAAAAGAAAAGCAGAGGGGGAAATAAGAGATAGATAGAGAGAGTGTGTGTGTGTGCGTTGCAGGTGCCTAGGTTGTTCAACAAGACAAACTAGGCGATGGTAGTAGGAACAATCAAGATCCCCAGGCGTTGACGGAAAACTTGCGTTTCCTGTCTTCCCTTGAGCAGGCAGTAAGTAGTGTGGTGCGTCGATGGTGGCATATCAGATGAAGGCCGTTTATGAAAGCTGCGATGTTCGATCCAATACCACAACATGTTTATTCCGAATCGTGTACATTGTTTCTTCTGCCCAAAGTTTTTATTATTTCTAGTTTCTCCCCTTCACTTGGCAGCTAGAGCTCACTCCCTGAATTAAAACCTCAGTAATTCTAGTCGCCCTGGGAAATGCCGAAAATAGTGAAATACAAGCATAATAGAGTAGGAATCAACTAGCGTTGCCTTTCCATCGTGGCAGTTTCTCGAGTCGTTGTAGGAAGCAGCGACATTGCTTGGCCACGCATGTATGTGAGCATATCCCATGATTCGTGCGTGTGTCTACCTTGGCTAGATGATGTAGAGGTTTGTTCTGGGTAGTGGAGCAGATTGTCTTCTTTTTTTTTTTTTTTTTTTTCCTGGTCCTGGGAGGGTAGCAGGCTGGGAGGATTGGATGCCTCATTCCTCCTTGTCACTAGCAGTGGCATCGCTGCTGCTGGTTGGTGTGGTGGTGGTGGTGGCGCTCACATCCTTGGCAATATCCTCATCCTCCAGCTGGGCCGCCTTGCCAGCGTCCGCTACGCGGCGTTGGTCAGCTGAAGGGAATAAAGCTGTGCCCTGCTGCAGGGCCTGGATCAATAGCTGTAGCGCATCGCCCTTGAAGTCGTCGGCGCTGCGAACCTTGTCCAGATCCTCAGCAAATTCCTTCGTGGCTTGCTGAAGGTAAAAGGACGTGAATTCGGCCGAAGCCGCGTTACTGCTGCCGGTGTTGGACATTGTCTTTTCTTTATTTCTTGTACTATTCACTCTTGTTTTCCCTTCTTTCTGAGTATGCGCGGAGAAGGGTGGCGGCGCCTTTGCCTTGTTCAGCTCTGTTTTTTTTTTCCCCTTCTTCCAAGTTTAGGTTATTGGGAGGGGGAAAAGAAAAAAAAAAAAGAAGACTGTGCTACCCACGGAACTTCAGTCTTCTTATTTGAGAATTTTTGCGAACACGAGCGAAAAAAGTCCAGTGGTCAAATAGCGTGAACCTCGGATGGAAAAAAGTACGATGCTCGGCGGTGGCGGTGGACGGCAATAATAAATGTGTATGTACTCTGTAGGCCTGGATGGAATATTGTGCAGGCTGTCTGTCTGTCTGTCTCTGTCCCCTTGTTGTCGAATGGAATTGGGGTTGTATGTCTGTTTGGCTTTGAAGCAGTTTGAATTTATTTCTCTGGAATTATTCATGCCCTTGTGTACTATTTTGACGCTGGGCTCCATATGCATGCATGCACCAATGCATAATGTACTATGTATGCTACTAATGCAGGCCAGGCGCTTCCAGCACTCAGGTAATGGAGACATGTCAGGTCGCTCAACTACATACATTGGGCGATGACGCAGTAGGAGACATCGCCAGCTGACCCAACTAGATCATAATGGCACTGCATAGGCAGTCTAGAATACCTACAGATACTTATGAAACAGGCTTGAGGACCGGCTAGATTCAGTACTTTCAATGTATGTTAGTTATTCCATGTGGCCCCCAAACATTACCTGCCAGTTTGGTGACTCTAGTCAGACTGGTCATCAATTTTTGCAACGCCAACATTGAACCTATATACGTCTCAACCGATGGGACATGTTCATGTGTGCTGGATTCTTGACAATTATTGGAACACCACCCACACAAAGGGTGAATCCTTTATTGCAAGGGACTCGCTATATTTGTCTGTCCTACCAATGACAATACACTTGTTATATACACTACATTATTATTAGTGCACACCAAATAAGTCTTGATTCATGCCGTCCCAGTGTTTACCTTTTGGTTCCTGCTGGCTCCCCCCCCCCCTTCCCCGACGGGGCGAATAAACCAAAATATGAAGAAACGTTTGTTGGTCGATCGGCCGTCTTACAATGCTAATGGGATCAATGCTTGGTTAGAGGTAGATCACGAAATTGATTTCACACTGTCGGCATGTTTCAGCGCCACAAACGTCTTCAATGTTCCCGAAGCAAGAAAAGAAGAATCAGGAGTCGCCTATACCGTCACACAGCACGGCTCAGGCCAATGGTAGCTCATCAGTGCCACCAAATCGGGACACGTCTTATCTGGCCCTCAATCCTCGTGTAAGTCAATAAAATGTTGGGGCCAGAAAACAGCCAACCACGGAGGGGGAAAAAGTGCAGACCTGCGGTCCCTTGCAGCAAAACTATCGAGCCACGCGACCATCAAATTCGAGGACATCGCCCGTGGCTTACAAGGGTTCAAGGCCGATCCGACGATGCAGCCGCCCCAGACCAGACAAGATATCGAGGCACCACACCATCTTCAGACTTACTTGCCCTACCCGAAGCACCGTAGGTGCACTTCCATTCTATGCATGCCGGGAGCTCTGCCACGTGCCTTGTGCGACAAACATCAACTGCTAGAGCTGTGTGCTTCCAAGCCATCCAAGACAATAATAGCACAGCTCTGAGCAATCATGCCTCTAATCAGCCTGGACTGGGGCAACGCAACGTATCTTACATTACAATGGCACATTATAAAGTCCCCTCGTTGTCCCATTCCGTCATTCGGTGATCATCAACTATCTGTTAGCTACTATACTTATTCTTTCAAGGGGAAAAATAATAATAATGAAACTATTCATTGTGCTCATCGCTTTATCGACAGTGGGTATTTACCGCTTGGTTATCCGAACCTGGATCAGGATAATCCTGTCCGTATGGAAATGCCAGATTTTCAAAGCATATGCTAACGGTACAAACAGTCAAATGGTTACATTGTTCATCATGGGACTCGATTTTGCTTCTCGCCGCCGTTGAGACGAAGCCAACGGATCTGATCGGATTGCAAACAAGCATTCTGAACAGCTCCGATCCCTGTTGGACGTCAATTTGAGAACGAATAATCAGACGTGCTACGAGAGCCTACAGTAGCAGCAATTTACTCAAAGACTCGCATCAGATATGCCCTGCCGTACCTGAGAGTCAGAATCAAGCTCTCTCGTCCAAGCGGAACGCACCCCTTTCAGCAGCCTACGGCAGCTTCACCCCCACGACAGCCAAAACCAAAGAACAGATGATCCCTCAAGTTTCAACATAATCCATACAACACTGACATACAATGTCGAGATCCTACGCGTGATCAAAGATCAAATGAACATGCGCGATGCAGAGATGTCAGAATGGGCCGAGGGCGGCTATGGGAACGACTACGGACCTGGATCTATCGCCAAGGGCTCCTTTCCAAAGGTGCACTCCGAATTGTTGGTGGACAGCAGGACGATGCAGGCCATAACTCTTCGTTCAACTCAGTGCCGGAGTCATCAGCCACTGGGAGGTCAAGGGTTTCAGCGGCTCTTGGGCAGCTCATTGATATTATAAGTTTAACCCTGGTTAGGACACGGATGGGTCCAATCTGGACCCAGCCAATGATATATTGGTTGATTAATGCAAGCATGGTCCGCTATGCTTCAAGATAGTTTGTTTGTCGTGAAGTTACCATCTTTACTCGGCTAGAGTTCTCGAGACCATCGTTGGCACACCATAATAAAGCTACCAGTCAGTAGCTGGAACAATAACATATTATGTATCGAAAGATTCTTCTCCAAGAGGAGGGGGGGTATAGTTATTATTACGTGACTGGGCTGGGATGAGGGGGCTCTTATCTCTGGCCGGGAGTTTCTGTATTATAGATTAGGTTACTTTATTGTGTTTAGCAACGTGGACAACCATTGGTGTGAATCAAACGAGCCCAACACAAAAATGATGTCACTGAGTTGCGCGAGTCGCCATTCCTTCACTCTGATTGTAAAGCTCTATGTGCCGATCTTTCAGCGCCTATGATACAGTACTTCAACTCTAGAAATCTTTCCACCCACTGGCGATCATAGGTCCCCAATACCAAGGCAGTTTCAATGAGCTAAATGAATACCAGTTTATAGGAGCAGAAAAGTCGAGTAGCCATGTCAGCTCGGACTGCGAGAATGTATTACGATCCGCAGAAGACATGAGCGCAATGGACAACTGGGCGCATGAAGGAAATGTCCATAGAAATGTTATGGGCATCGGCTGGCCATGCTCGAGGTTTCCATAAGCCGCATTTGATATGCAGTTGGGCACAGTGGTAAACATAAGTTCGAGACGCGGTAACCAAATTAATGTATTTATATTCATAATTGAAGGCTACTTCTGCCCTCTTATAATCTCGTGACGGCCGCCAAGAACCTGTCGACCAATTGGATTCATTGCCCAAGATGTCCCCAAATATGCTGCGAAGCAAGTTCCAATGGACGAACCCTTGTGATATGTTTTCTATATTAATGCAGCTGGTAACATAACAATGCTACGTCTTGTTCCCTCTCCTAAAGTCACGGTAATAGGAACCTGCCGCCACGAAGCTAAGACAATGATTGTTGATTGTTGTTGTTGATTAGGGATAACCACCGAGCTACCTTTGGAGCAAAACTCGCAATCCTTCCTGCTAAATTAATTGCATTACAAACGTCTCGCGGTTTGGCTCCCACCAGGGCTACGTTTTAAGGGGAGAAATTAAAGCAATAATAGTCCGGGCCCGTGAGAATTGAACGCGTGACCCCCAGTCAGTCAATCCATGACTTCCTCTTTGCACTACCACTGCGCCAAAATGTAAAAAGCCAGTGGGGCTTGGCTACACCACAGCTCTCTACCATTCAGATGACAGGACACAGATCCAAGAGCATGAGACAAGGTGAGTGAATAGAGGAAGGAAAAAAAAAAAGGCAAAGGCAAAAAAGCAATACTGAATTGCTTCAAAAGCGTTCCAAAGATTGATTAACGGAGCAAAGTTTGGCATTAAATCGAAGAGTCAGGTAAAAGGCATGATTCTTGTTGAAATATAACGTCCAAGCTCCTAAAAATTAGGTCTGTTATCTTTGTTCATAACGCTTCAATTAAAAATGGGTCGCCCTCAGTTAGCACCAAACCTCGACCGTGACGCCTACGTGCTGACCCTTCACTACGAAGTACATGCACTGAGAACACAGGATTGATTTCGCGATGTACTGCTATGAAAAAGTACATATGTAGTGTTTTTCCTGCGCCTTTGGACTAAGGGAAAAATTCAGGAGTGCGGGTTTGCTTGGTATCTAAGAAGCCGGTTTGCATTTAAACTACATTACACAACACACCCGACGTCTCGATGTAGTTGATTGATCTAGTATGTAGTGCCTAAATAATGGACTAGAAAGGTAACTTGGGTAGGTACTGCAACAGTGCCAAGCAATGCGTCATCGGGCGCGCGGCGGTCGCAGTTGAGCAGAGTCGAGTGCTGCCTCACCCAAACATGGAGGGGCACAAGTCCTGGCACGGCTTTGGATGCCTGCCTACCTTATTACCTGCCTAGTGAAATAGGTTCGATCTCTTGGGGGAAAAAAATTAACAATCATCCGTGACAAGTAAAGTAATCACAAGACTCTTGATTGTACAACATTGAAAGCACCTTGTTTGCTCCCGTCATCCGACCATTCATTCTCCTTCCGAACTCTGCCAAAGAGCTTTTGCGACACCGCGCACGATGCCCTCTTACAAGAGCACTCCTCTGTATGGCGGGGCCCTCGTCTGCGACCTGCCGGCCAACTTTGCCGATGTCAGGTATGACCAAAGAAACCCCCTCCCACCATGAGCACGCCTTTATTCCGTAGTTCTGCACATGGACAACCGACTGTGCGCAACCATACTGACTTGAGGGCCATGACGACAGCCAGATCCGAGAGGTCCCCGACCACCAGGAGGTTTGGATCGACAAGGACGGCTTCACGAGCATCGTCTTTGACATCAACGAGCGCATAGGCGAAAAAGGCAGCTCACCCGAGATTGATGGTCGCGCCCTTACCACCCACTTGGAGGAGGTTGTTGGAGACGACATTGATCGCGTCAAGGTCTGGAACACGACTCCGACGCTATTCTCGCGACTCGAGTACGTTGATGCCTGAACCATATATCCTTTTCATCACCCATCCATCTATACATCTATCCCCGAGTTCATCCATTTATCCTATCGATCCCTCACGCGCGACATTCTGCAGTTTACAGGAGAGGTTGCGACTCCTCCATATAGCAGCATTGATTCCATTCAAAGATGCCCATTCGTTTGCTACATACTAAGCCCCCGTGACAGCGAAGATATCCCAGCATACACCCTCATCGCAACCATGGCACCGAGATCGAGCCCCGAGACTGAGAGAAGATCGTCACCCGACTTTACTGCTCTGATCATGACCTTGGTACGCCTTGAGCGCGAGATGACTGACATTCTAATCACCATCAACGTGCCACACATTAAAGGAGAATATGACGAGGAGGATGTTGACCTGGAGCTGGGGAAGCAGGGTAAATTGATTGGCGACGCCGTCGATTATGCCGCCAAGATATGGGAGACCTTCAAGGTTAAGGACTGGGGTCTCTTTGCTGAAATATAGAAAGAGATGGAAGTATTTGCGTCGTTATACAGCTACGCGCTGCCAGTTTGCGCACAGGAGAGGCCTGGAGCGCTATAGAAGGGAAGGATGCACTACGTGTACCGAAATTGCGTGTTCACGACTTGGACGACAACATGACCACCGTCAGCTGCGATGGCTAGTTTGCATGATTACGACCAGCTCATTTCTTTTGTTACGCCGGGCAATTTTGTATTTTTCGAACGTCTAATCACTCGAGGGTGCACAACAAGCAGATGGCCAACAAATCTGGCATGCCCACATTGGGTCAGAGCCAATAATGATTATGATGACAAGAATGAGTCTAACCATGCACCATAACCCTGCCAAACGCCCTGTGCCGTCTGTTAAATGCTTCTCAAGTAATTATACACATTGAAACGAAGGCAACACGTAGCTAGAAACAGGCTACAGAGTCTCAATCTGAAGTGAGGTCTGTAACCAAGAGACCCTCGAGCTCCTGCTCCAAGGCTTGGAGCTCTTTGTCACTCGGGCCGACTATGGTTTGTTCTTGCTGTGCCTTCCATCGTGCTGATACGATTGCCATCATCTCCTTGAAGGGCAGCGCCTTGCCTCCGGCCTTGAGATCCTTCATCTCCCTGCTCACAAACTCCTGATAGGCAGTTCGCCCCTTGCCATTGGCCCTCGGAACCGGCTTAACCTGTTCCAAGATTCCGCGGCATCGTCCACATCGTTGCTTCTCGGGGTTGACGCTCTTCGAATGCCGCTTCACCTCACAGCCGCAGTCGGCGCAACGCCATATGAACTTGAAGTCGATTTCGTAGTTGTGCTTGGTGGTGACAACGATGCCTCGGGCGTGAAATGTATCCATGCACTTTTGGCCCCACGCCTTGAATTCGGCACCGTGGGCGAATTTGGGCTTGCCGTTGAGCATGAAAACAGCGAGATGGCAAAATTCATGTGCCACCGTGTTCATTAGGTCGTCCTCGTTGTTGAGGACTTTGGCCGCCAACTCGATCCAGCCCTCGTGCTGGCGCTCCTTGGTCGACTTAACCTCGCCATCAGGCTGCTGGGTCTTGGTGGTCACTTCTTTGCACTTCCAGTGGGCCCTGCCGGCTGTGGTCTGCAGGGAATTGGACCACTTGGTCTGAAGCCCGCCGGTGGCGGCGGTGAGTTGTGACAGCTGCCCAGAGGTAACACACTCATCGAGCTCGTGGAGAAAATCATGCGCCATCTTCTCCCTAACCTGTTCGAACACCTTCTTGGCTGTTTTCTTCTCGGGGCTTGTGCCGTATTTCTGCTTCAATGTACCCTTCCTATCGGTACCTGCAGTAAGGTTGAGCTTTTGGGGACTGCGCTTGGGAGGTGAGTGCCGATCTATCCATTCGTTCTGGATTCCAACGTCCCAAAACTCCTTATGTTCAGCTTTCCATGGCGAAGGGGGGATCTTCGGTGCCTTTGTTGGCGATGCCTGTAGCGTCTTTCTAGGGGTTACCGGCTCTAGTTGTGTTCCGGGCTTTGTTTCTGTTGAATCATCCAGCTCATTGGTGTAGAGCCGGAGCTTTTGAAAGTGGTTCTCGATATCTTCGGCTGTGGCATACGTCGGTCTCGAATTTCTTTTAGGCGGTGTCCTTGGCCTGGCTGGTTTCTGATCGTCATCGGTGTCCTCTAGGTCTTTCTCCCGTGCAGCCTTGGTCGGCGGCATAACCCTCTTAGGGCGGTCTTGCGGAGGTGGCAGTCGAACAGTAGTCGCCAGTACCCGCGTGCTGGGGCTGCTCGGTCGGCTTGCCTCAGATGAGACATCGGATCCTCCAGGCGACTGGTATTCGGAGTCGGAGTCAGAATTAGACTCTAGACCTTCTGACAAGGCTGTTACAAATTCAGACTCCTCATCGTCGCTGGACTGCTCACCACCCTCGGAGATGATGGCGGAGATCTCGAGCGTCTCCTCCACGGACCTGCCTTCGTCGTCCAGCTGGGTAACAAATAAAACAGCCTCCGTCTTGATCAAGCTATCAGCGCTCTCTCTTTGTGGCTTTCGTGTCCTCGTTGGCTGCCTTCGCCGCACCAACACATCATCATCTGACTCTTCGGATGATTTGTCGGAATCTACATGCTCTGCTCTACAAGTTCCCAGTGTCTTTGGTCTGGTTTCTCGACTGGAGACTCGAGACGTCCTGGTCTTGGGCTCTGTGAGGTCCTCACTCCATTTTCGAAAGAGCGGATTGTCGAGTGTTTCGGAATCGCCAAGTTTCCGACGACGTAGTGGCGTTCCATTTGTCAAAGAGGCCGACAACGAAGGCTTGACAAGCCTTCTGATGGTGGGTTTGCTGTTTTCTGCCGGCATCGCCTCCTTTCTAGCTGCGGCTGGCCCTTGATGTGCTGCTGGCAGCTTTGGCTGTCGGACGCGCTTAGCGACCGCTTGTAGGTCTGGGAATTCATCGTCACTGCTCATCAATTCTCCCCACGCCATAGCTTCTGCCTGTACCAAGAGGTAAATTCTGTGGTCCTGACAATACTGTTTGTTCCTTTCCCCCCTCCTTCGTAATAGTCGAGTATGGAAAAATTGGTTCGTCGTTGCTCATTGAGTCTGTGGCAGCAGAGGCGAGGTTAAGGTTGAAATTGGTAGTGCCGCTGGTTGGGGGGGCAACGACGCTATTCTGGACTGGACCCCTCCTTCCGCGGGACGGACTACATTACCTTAAGCCAACCAACTTTCTATCGTTTTACGAAAGCCTTCGTTTCCTGCTGATCAACCACCACTTCTACTTCGCGAATTAGCTTGTAAGAATACTTTTCTCCAAGGGCAAACTGATAATGGCCATTCTAAAAATGCAACTGCAAGCTTCTGACATGAATCAATTGTTTAGAATTGAGGCTCGAAGCGGGTCAGTAGGAGTAGACCTCCGCCGAGACGTATAATCATACGCAATACGTGCCGATGGATTATCTGCTTTACACGGGCATGTTTATATAGTACTTTTGGGTGGAAAGGAAAATCTCATGGAGTTCATACTATTCTCAAATTCTTCGCCTACTCGATGGTCGTGGCCAGTATTTCATCGTTCTGATGATTCTTGATTGGTGAGTCAAGAGCCACTAATTGTGGAAATGTATGTCTCAGACAGTTGGCAGAGCACCGTCGAGAGCACCACACTCTCGAGGTTAGAGAAGACCCAGAACAGTCGTGTGATACACGTCCCCTCGAGAATATGTGTAGTACTTGCCTGGGTACGATATATTCTGTGCTACGAAGGAGGTTGATGTGTTTGTATTCTCTTGAGATTCGCAGAGGACGTTGATGATTACATAGGCACTCTTCTAAAAGCCAACCTCATTTCTGTCGACATATTCCAGCATATTTGAAACCTGTTTTTTTTACTCTGAGACCTAGCCATGATCTCTGATCATCAAGTGCAGCCATTTGATGCTTCTCTGGAGGACACGATAGTGTAATCAGGACTTACATGTATGGAAAACCATGACTGGCTCGCCGTGTCGAATGGAAGCTAGAATCAATATCTTGTAGCACCGGTGAGGATAGTCAGCCGCTCTGGGGGTGGGGTTTCTGAATGCTAACCATGCAGCATGGTGTCCAACTGGCAAAACCCCAGCAATTTTCGCGTGAGCTCCCATAATCAAGGAAGCAGGGGCCATAGCATCTACATATCCATCAGCGCACAGGAGTCGAACGAGCTCGTCGATAACCATGACGTTGAGAACCAAGTCTTGAATGGAATGCTCATGACAAGACTGAACCGAATTTGGGCTTCACGGATACCATAAGTGATTTGCTTTGGAGCAGTTTGAGGACGACGTCGAAGACGACAACGACGACGACGACGACATTGAATTGGTTCTATGTCTACGCAACCGTCCGGATCGTGCCGCTTTGGAGGCTTATTAGCGGATGTAGACTTCGATGCCTCGTCAGCAATGTGATTGTCAGGCAAGCCTGTCGACAGCCCTGTTGACTCTGCGGCTGAGTGGTGCTCGGTACTAGTGTAGGTGCACTACAGAGGACACACGGCCGCACCCACAACGGGTCCCATTCTCTGGTGCATTTAGATAGTGATGATACAGAATGCAGGCGAACGACTGATGAGGCCCGCCCCCTAGTCTGACTAGAGAACTCCGCTGTCAGTCAGATAGTCTACATAGGCCATAGTACACCGTAGAGACAGTGGCACCACCAGGTGGACAAGGGAGGCCCCCGTACGTATTGAGTTCTCAGAATAGCGTCGTTACGAATCATAGATCCACCGGCCGGAGCGGTCGTTGGCCCCGGTTCTGGCTTGTCTGGTTGTCTGGCTCCAAGGCTTCTGGCGCGGCTCGTTTCTGGTAGACCAGCCCTTTAATGATGGTCAGATAGATTGAGGGGCTACCGACTGGGAAGTTAGTGGGTCCCTGATTTATGCCAACGATTATTGCTCAATGTCGAATCTGCAATTTCGGCTCCAAATACTACCTCTTGAATCCTACGGTACGCGGCAGGCGGTAGGTAAGTGGACAGGGTGGGCATTGTGTCTAGGCAGCAAGATTACCCTCTGGGATTGCTTGGAAGCTCCAGAAGATGGATTTGAATTTACAATCCGAGTACCTCAAGCAATCACAGAAAGGAGGCATCGGAGAAAAAGCAACAAGAAGAAAAGACAGGCAAAGAGTAGCAAACAGAAAATTGAGTCTGCACTTATGCTGTCAACATGATTCAAAGCTTCCTATTTTAAGGTGACACACCCCCGCGAAGGCTTTCATTTAGTGGCGATGCGGCTGGCGGTTTGTTATGCGGGAGATTACCTAGCGGCGGCGTCGTCGTCTGTCATGTCAGTGTCAGAGGTGAGTACAGAAACACACCAAAAAAAATAAAAAAAAAAAGTTTAACGCGATTAGTGGATATATCTGTGCAGAAACGGGATTTGGCTCGTGCTGACTGCCATGGAGCAGAGATTAGAAAGGAAGAAATAGAGAGTGATACTTTATTGATTGGCAAATCTAAACGCACATGTTCGATCGAAGGTCATCGATTCCCCACCTATGGACCTGAGTTCCAGATGCGAAGCAATCCTCGGTACGCAATATTGGACGTGCTTGTAAAGATCATCACCACAGTGCATTCTTCTGTACGTTTGTATGTAGGTAATCCAGTTAGAGAGGCTTTTAGATAGTGGCAGTAGGTATAAGCTCGAGTCCTTTGTGTGTGTACGACGCCTGCTTGCCAGCAGATGGGAGGCCGACGGCCATGGAGACATCAAGGGGACCTACTTGTAGCTGAGTTGCCTAAACTTCCTCTGATCTTCTGCGTTTAGTACCGTATGGTATCTGGACATTGCTTCTGAGAACCTACTATGTACCTAGGTCCAAGCACAATATCAGACATCTGCGGGCTCTCAAAAGGAATATTTCACCGAGCCTCTACGGATAGCAGACACACACTATGTACGTACGAGCTGCTCCCTCCTTAGGAGCATGCTCAAGTACATAACGTACATAACCAAATAACGTGGTGCTGCGTGTACTAGTAGACTACGGACGCGAATAGCAACTGGATGAATGGATAGATTGGCCCAAGATTGCTCATGTCGTCATCATTGACGCCGAAAGAACATGGGTTGTGGAAACGGCGCGCAAGCATTGGTTATCGCAAGGCCTTGGAGCCACAGTCGGCCTGGAATCTATCGCTAGAAGAAGCCATTCGGCCGCCGGTACCTGCGTTGAACGGCCCGTTTTTTCTCGTCGGCACTACCGCTGAGCGTGGTGGTGTACAAGCATACATGGTTCGAATTCCATGAGCTACAGTGCGAACTAGACAAAAGCAACATTGGATAGCTCAAAAAGAAAGGCGCAACTCGCACTACGTATCTAGGTATCTTTGGATTCTACACTCTTCGTAATGCGAATACATCGTCTTCTGCACATATCTACCTATTTCGTTAGACGGCAAAGGCCATGCTGCTAGTGTTTCTCCTCCAGCCTTGAGCGTCCACATTTGCTATTGTTTATTTTTTTTCGGGAGAGGGGGAGGGGAGGCCATTTGTCGTTCAATAGGATGGGTATGAGGCACTTCTCAATATTTGTCCCTGCTCAGTCCGCGTGATTTTAAGCTTGATCAAGGCGTCTTGGCGCGAATAAAGAACTTTCCTTTCTTCTGGAAGAGAACTGGAAGCACTGTACGAGCTACGTGTAGACTAGCAAATGGCTGATCGATCGAATGCAGAAACATGGAGCATGGAAAAAAAAAAAAGGCACGACGGCAGAGGTACTGGCAAGCATTCTGGATGGCATGGTGGATATTTATCAACCGCGTGGCTCGTTCGACTGCTCCATGGCATTTTGCCTTTTGCTGGGTGGCTTTCTAAAAGACCATGGCGTGAAGTGTCGTGTTTACAAGTGTGTGCGACCATAGCCCAACGCGGTCAATTTCGCCACACCCAGGAGACACACTCACATTCAGCATTCTTATTGGTCAGAGAAAGCAGATCCGTATACGCACGCAGATGCAGCTCGCGCATGCTTACACAGTATGTCTTGGAACACGATGTTGCTTGCAGGTGTGATATTGCGCAGATCGTGGTGAGCGTGATATCTGCACAGTAGCAGAGTACATAGGTATTTGTCCGTATGGCAACAAGCAAGTCTATTTCAAGGGCGCTCTCCTGTCAGCCGAAAACATTTACCCAGCTGCCGTACATAGTAGGATAGGTATTTTGTAGTATCATAATTATGGCACTGCCTACAAAGCAAACACCAAAGCCTCTCCTCGAGACAGTATATCAAGTATGTACAAATCAAACATTTTCTTGTCCAATATCATATCCGACTAAATACAGCATGTATCGACTTGCCCATTATCTAGATTTGTTTGTATAGCCCTTGAATCGAGGCGCATTGGAAGATATTACAAAGACTGTTCACAAGTGACTCTCGCGGAATACCATTCAACGCTTTTCTATTCTCTCACCCCCCCACCCCCCTTCTCTCTCTCTCTCTCTCTCAGGTCCTCAATAACTACGTCAATGTTGATACCAGGTTGATTACTTGGAGAAGAAAAGTAGAGTCTGAAATCTATAATATCCTTGGCTTGGTGGATGGATGGATGTACATAGTAGTATATATTTGCACACGGCATGTATAAACAAATCCGACATATAATGGTTGGTGATTTATAAGCTTGATTTTGGTCTCATCTCGAGGCAGGCGAGGCAAGTGACCGATGAGCGCTATGTACGTGGTAGATACTATGATTCGAAGCGTTGGCTGGTACCTGATCTTCATGCTCTGTCTGTATGCTAAAATGATCCATGATGCTCGGTGATTCGCATCCTAGCGTACTTAGGCGAGTTTCCGGGCTGTTAGAAAACCGGATTCATGACCAATCACGACGTGGACAAGCCATAACCCTTGGTTGGCCCTTGTCGGTTGCCCCCTGTTTGGGAGTCAAAATCCTGCGCTTGACTCGATTCACTTTGCCTGGGCTATTGGGTCTCCGTCCTTCCTTGGGGTCCAGCAAGATCCGAAAAGTCAAGCAAGGCCAATTCCGCGCAGAAGCAGGAAAAAGGAGGTCCGATTCCCATGTGTACCCACTTCGTTTTTCGAAAGATTCGCCTCCCTTCTACATGGTATTGTCGTTCCAGTTCGTCAAGTGCTGTTTCTAGTGAAGGCAGCGTAGGTAAGTTATTCGTAGGATAGATTGATAGGTTGGTAGGTTTCTCACACATACACTCTCTCTCAGGTTTGTGAGGGAGGCGAGGGGGCCTCGTAATATTCCATACCTGGAGCCGACACGATGGTCTGATCGCCCATTTGGCTGGAGCTGCGCCTCACACGGCAAGCAGCCGCCAAATCAGAACGACTGAAGTGAACTGAAGGAGTAAATGATCAAATCTTGTGTACCTCATCCTATTCTCAAACCTGGAGCGGCAGGGAGATCGAGTAAGTAGTGGTGTAGGGTAGGTAATGTAGGTACCTGCTACAGTTGTCGATCAAATTCGAAGTTTTACTGTGTGTACATTGCATTATCCGCCCTACACTACATACATAGTACAGTACGCTGGTTTAAATACAGTATGAAGAATTCTGTCTATCATGTACATTAATTAATGCATGTGGTGTGCGTAACTTGTAGATAGCCTTCGCTTTTTTCTTCTCTTTGTCCCTCCTCCCTCCCAATACAGCACAGCCACTCCCGCATCTCGATCGTCGTCGTTGAACTCGCCCCAGTGCGCTCCCGCCGTCGCGCTGCTAGTGGCCCCCGTCGCGGAGCCCACTGGCTGCTGGGAATCCCCGTCAGAGGCATTGACAACGCTTGTAATGTGCTACTACCACTGTCTAGGCACCGCTCCTATTCCCCTTTCGACCTCATCTCAGATTTCCAAGCTTATTCTCAACCCCCTCCCCCCTTCCTGCTTCTTTTCCCCTTGCAAACCTGTTTCACGTCTCCTTTTTCTTGCTTTTGGATTCATTCTTCTTCCCTATCTGCTTTCATTTGCAGCAGCATTTGGACGGTGGTTTTTGTTTGGGAATCCCGAAGACGACCAAAGGACCGAAGAAAAGGATTCATTCCAATCGCTTGTCTCCTTTCCCGTTCTACGGAATCTGACTTTCGTTATCTTCCGCTCTCGCCCCTCCCGCTATCGTTGTCCTTCACATCCTGCATCGACTGGTACCCGTTCGCTCGTCCTGTCCAACGCAGCTGATAGAAAAACCTAAAAGAGACGGCTAGCTAGCTCGACGCGCGCTCACTGCCTTTCGCTTTACCTGTCGACTTCTGTCCCTCAGGCCTTCTCTCACCCCTAGTCGATCTTTCTGCAGCATCGAACCCTCTCGACCACTTGGCCGGAGCATAAAAACAAAAACAACAACCGAAGAAAAAAAAAACATCTTTTTTTTTTCTTAATTAATTGCAACGAGGAATTGTCCAATTGCTTCGCCAAAAGCGCTTCAATCGGCAGTCACTTGTTGGTTGGAAACCGTCTCTTGAGGATTTGCAGCGCTACACGCCTAGCTTCTTCTCTTTCGAGACGCCGGGCCTGCCGTATTGGATCCATAGGCCAACCCGCTACCAATTAGGCACGCCGCGTAACCTACAGCAAGGTACCGCCAATCCAATCGATCCTGCAACTTTTCCCCTTTCCCGCCCAACATCAACAATCTTTGTTTCTCACGCGAGAACACTTCCAGGTCAACACCACTCACAAACGTCACGCTTGTGGCCGGCCACTGTGATTGTCCCTCTCGTTTCTACCGTCATCGGGAAGGATCAAAAACTGCCTTTTAATCATAATTTTGCAGAGTCATGAGTTTGTGATTGGTACGTCGTCTCTCCCTCCTCCCTCCCACCCATACCCACCTCAACACAACGTCCACCAAGACAGGAATGCATACTTTTGGCAGAAGTGTAAATGAAGCTTAGCCTTCACGACGCGCTTAATTACAGCCTCTTTTTTTCTCCTTGAGCAATAACATGTTCCACTGCATATCCAGGCACATGGCCAATTCATACTGTCTCTTGCCTTGTTTCCAGCTAACCTGTCCCTTTCCACCCCGTTATTAGATCAGCGCCGATTTTCTAGACAAACGAGCCCCCATCTACGATCAAGATGTCGGGCTACCCAGGAGGCGGTGGTCATCAAGACTACGACGATGGCTACGGCCATCAGGGAGGTCACAACACGGACTCCTATTACCAAGATGAGCAGCATGGCCAGTACTATGACCATGACGGCTACGACAACAACAACAACAACAACAATAACGCCAATCACGATGGCTACTACGATCAATCGTATGTTTATAATATTCTATTTGGTGCTGCTTGATTAGAAACTAACATTACTTGCCCGCTAGTGGTTACTACAATGCCGACAGCCAGAACCCTTACCACCAGGACGGCGGCTACTACGACAACAATGACCAGTACCAAGATGACTACTACAACCAAGATGGGCAGTATCACGACCAAGGATATCAGCAAGGCCGAGGTCATGGCGAAGACGAATCCGAGACCTTCAGCGACTTCACCATGCGCTCTGATATGGCACGTGCTGCCGACATGGACTACTATGGACGCGGTGATGAGAGATACGACAGCTACAATGGTGGTGATCGTGGCTTCCGTCCTCCCTCGTCTCAGATCTCTTACGGTGGTAATCGATCGTCCGGTGCGTCGACTCCCAACTACGGCATGGATTACGGAAATGTCTTGCCTGCTGGGCAACGCTCCAAGGAACCCTACCCTGCCTGGACATCCGATGCTCAAATCCCCCTTTCCAAGGAAGAGATCGAGGACATTTTCCTGGATCTAACCGGAAAGTTTGGATTCCAGCGGGATAGCATGCGCAACATGTACGACCATCTCATGACGTTGCTGGACTCGAGGGCGTCTCGCATGACTCCCAACCAGGCCCTTCTCTCGCTCCATGCCGACTACATCGGTGGTGACAATGCCAACTACCGAAAATGGTACTTTGCCGCCCACCTTGACCTGGACGATGCTGTTGGCTTTGCCAATATCAAGGGCAAGGGCCGCAAGAAGTCCAAGAAGAGCAAGGCTCCCAAGGACGGCGCTGACGAACAACAAGCCCTAGAGGACCTTGAGGGAGACGACAGCTTGGAAGCTGCCGAGTACCGCTGGAAGACTCGTATGAACCGCATGTCTCAGCATGATCGAGTTCGACAGATTGCCCTGTTCCTGCTATGCTGGGGAGAAGCCAACCAGGTCCGTTTCATGGCCGAGTGCTTGTGCTTCCTCTTCAAGTGCGCCGATGACTATCTCAACTCCCCTGCCTGTCAGAACATGGTGGAGCAGGTTGAAGAGGGGACATTTCTCAACAACGTCATCACACCGCTGTATCAATATTGCCGTGACCAGGGTTACGAGATCTCCAATGGTGTCTACGTCCGTCGCGAGCGGGACCACAATCAAATTATTGGTTATGATGACTGCAACCAGCTCTTCTGGTACCCTGAGGGTATTGAGCGCATTGTTCTCGAGGACAAGAGCAAGCTGGTTGATGTGCCCCCTCAAGAGCGTTACCTCAAGCTTAAGGACGTGAACTGGAAGAAATGCTTTTTCAAGACGTACAAGGAGACTCGGTCCTGGTTCCATATGATTGTTAACTTCAATCGTATTTGGGTTATCCACTTGACCATGTTCTGGTTCTTTACCGCCCACAACGCGCCATCCTTGATTCTGGGTAGCAAGTATGAGCAGCAGGTTAACAACCAGCCAACAGCTGCCGCTCAGTGGTCGATTGTTGGCGCAGGCGGTGGCATTGCCTCTCTCATCCAGATCTTGGCTACTCTCGCCGAATGGGCTTACGTTCCACGAAAGTGGGCGGGCGCGCAGCATCTCTCTAAGCGTCTGGTCTTCCTCATCGTCATCTTCCTCATCAATGTCGGTCCCAGTGTCTACGTCTTTGGTATCGATGGAGCTCAGGACAATAAGATCGGCTTGATTCTGGGTATTGTCCAGTTCTTCTTCTCTATTGCCAGCTTCCTCTTTTTCTCCATCATGCCCCTTGGTGGCTTGTTTGGCAGCTATCTGGCCAAGAAGAACTCGCGCCAATACGTGGCCAGTCAAACCTTTACGGCTAGTTGGCCTCGTCTTCGCGGCAATGACATTGCCATGTCCTATGGTATGTGGGCCGTCGTTTTTGGTGCCAAGTTCGGAGAGTCCTACGTCTACTTGACGTTGTCGCTCCGTGATCCTATGCGTTACTTGTCTATCATGGACGTCAGCTCCTGCTTGGGAGATGCAATCATTGGAGATGTGCTTTGCAAGTACCAGCCCACGATCACCCTGGCTCTCGTGATCTTCACCGATATGCTCTTCTTCTTCTTGGATACCTATTTGTGGTACGTCATCTTGAACACGGTCGGTTCGATCGCCCGCTCCTTCTATCTGGGTTCGTCTATCTGGACTCCCTGGAGAAACATCTTCTCCCGTCTGCCCAAGCGCATCTATTCCAAGATCTTGGCAACTACCGATATGGAGATCAAGTACAAGCCGAAGGTGTTGATTTCTCAGATCTGGAACGCCATTGTCATCTCCATGTACCGCGAGCATCTCCTGGCCATCGATCATGTGCAGAAGCTCTTGTACCACCAGGTTCCGTCCGAGCAGGAGGGCAAGAGGACCCTTCGTGCCCCTACGTTCTTCGTCTCTCAGGAAGATCACTCATTCAAGACCGAGTTCTTCCCCAGCTACAGTGAGGCGGAACGTCGTATTTCGTTCTTCGCACAGTCTCTCTCGACTCCCATCCCTGAACCCCTCCCTGTGGACAACATGCCTACTTTCACTGTCATGATTCCCCACTACAGTGAAAAGATTCTGCTGTCGCTACGAGAGATTATTCGTGAGGACGAGCCCTACTCCCGTGTCACTATGTTGGAGTATCTGAAGCAACTGCACCCGCACGAGTGGGACTGCTTTGTCAAGGACACCAAGATTTTGGCCGATGAAACCTCGCAATTCAATGGTGAAGATGAAAAGAACGAAAAGGACACCGCGAAGAGCAAGATTGACGATCTTCCCTTCTACTGTATTGGTTTCAAGTCTTCCGCTCCGGAGTATACACTGCGTACCCGTATTTGGGCCTCGCTGCGCTCTCAGACTCTGTACCGTACAATTTCCGGTTTCATGAACTACAGTCGTGCCATCAAGCTGCTGTATCGCGTGGAGAACCCTGAGGTGGTCCAAATGTTTGGCGGCAACTCTGACAAGTTGGAACGCGAACTTGAAAGGATGGCTCGTCGCAAGTTTAAGCTCTGTGTTTCCATGCAGCGCTACTCGAAGTTCAAGAAGGAAGAAATGGAGAACGCCGAATTCCTTCTCCGTGCCTACCCCGACCTCCAGATCGCGTACCTCGATGAGGAGCCACCATTGGCCGAGGGTGATGAGCCCCGTATTTACTCTGCCTTGATTGACGGTCACTCAGAAATCATGGAGAATGGTTCGCGACGCCCCAAGTTCAGAATTCAACTATCTGGAAACCCAGTCCTCGGTGACGGAAAATCCGACAACCAGAATCACGCCATCATCTTCTACCGTGGAGAGTACATCCAGCTCATTGACGCCAATCAAGACAATTATTTGGAGGAGTGTTTGAAGATTCGATCCGTCCTTGCTGAATTCGAGGAAATGAAGACCGATAATGTTTCGCCCTACACACCTGGCGTCAAGAACCAGGCGTTCGCTCCTGTTGCCATTCTTGGTGCTCGTGAATATATTTTCTCCGAGAACATTGGTATTCTCGGTGATATCGCTGCTGGAAAGGAACAGACATTCGGTACCCTGTTTGCCAGAACCTTGGCCCAGATTGGTGGCAAGCTTCATTATGGTCACCCTGATTTCCTCAATGGTATCTTTATGACGACCCGTGGTGGTGTTTCCAAAGCTCAAAAGGGTCTGCATCTAAACGAGGATATTTACGCTGGTATGAACGCTTTACTGCGTGGTGGTCGCATCAAGCACTGCGAGTACTACCAGTGTGGTAAGGGTCGTGACCTTGGTTTTGGCTCCATTCTGAACTTCACCACGAAGATTGGTACTGGTATGGGTGAGCAGATGCTGTCTCGCGAGTACTACTACCTCGGTACGCAACTGCCTCTCGACCGTTTCCTCTCGTTCTACTACGCCCACCCTGGTTTCCACTTGAACAACATCTTCATCATGCTCTCGGTCCAGGTCTTCATGATCACCCTTCTCAGCATCGGTGCGCTCCGTCACGAGACCATTGCCTGCGACTACAACACAGACGTCCCTATTACGGACCCTCTGTACCCAACAGGCTGTGCCAACACCGACGCTTTGATCAACTGGGTCTACCGCTGTGTTCTTTCCATTCTTTTCGTCTTCTTCTTGTCATACATTCCCCTTTGTGTGCAAGAGCTTACGGAGCGTGGTCTTTTCCGTATGGCGACACGTCTGGCCAAGCAGTTCTGCTCCTTCTCTCCCTTCTTCGAGGTGTTTGTCTGTCAAATTTACGCCAATTCGGTTCAAGAGGATCTGTCCTTCGGTGGAGCTCGCTACATCGGTACTGGACGTGGTTTTGCCACAGCGCGTATTCCCTTTGGAGTTTTGTACTCCCGTTTTGCCGGCCCCTCGATCTACTTCGGTTCTCGATGCTTCATGATGTTGTTGTTCGCAACAATGACCATTTGGCAGTCAGTTCTGACTTACTTCTACATTACGGTGCCTGCTCTCATGGTTTCACCATTCCTCTACAACCCCCACCAGTTTGCCTGGAACGACTTCTTCATCGACTACCGTGATTTCTTGCGCTGGCTGTCTCGCGGTAACTCGCAGTCTCACGCCGCCTCGTGGATTGCGTACTGCCGTTTGTCTCGTACCAGAATTACTGGTTACAAGCGCAAGGTCCTCGGTGACCCGTCCAGCAAGCTCTCTGCCGATGTTCCTCGTGCCGGCTTCACCAATGTCATCTTTGGCGAAATCATCGCACCGCTGCTATACGTGGCTGTCACCTTGATTCCGTACTTGTTCATCAACGCGCAGACTGGTGTTTTGGCCAACGACAAGAATGCAAGTGCCACAAACTCCTTGATTCGTGTCGCCATTGTGGCCTTTGCTCCGATCGCCATCAACGCTGGAACCCTTGCCGCTATGTTCGGTATGGCCTGTTGTATGGGACCGGTGCTCAGCATGTGCTGCAAGAAGTTCGGTAGTGTCTTGGCCGCGATTGCGCACGCAATTGCTGTCATCATGTTGATTGTCTTCTTCGAGGTCATGTTCTTCCTGGAGGGTTTCGACTTCACCAAGACGCTTATCGGCATGATTGCAGTCATGGCTCTGCAGCGATTTATTTTGAAGCTCATTATTTCGCTTGCGCTGACTCGTGAATTCAAGACGGATCAATCCAACATTGCATTCTGGACGGGCAAGTGGTATTCTATGGGTTGGCACTCGGTTTCCCAGCCTGCACGTGAATTTCTCTGCAAGATTACTGAGCTGAGTCTGTTCGCCGCCGATTTTGCCCTCGGTCACATCTTGCTGTTCATCATGCTGCCCTTCATCCTCATTCCGCAGATGGACAAGCTTCACTCGATGATGCTCTTCTGGCTGCGCCCAAGGTACGTGTCCTCTTCGCAATACAGAAAGATAGTCCAAACAATGCTAACTTAATCGCCTACAGTCGCCAGATTCGTCCCCCTATCTACTCATTGAAGCAATCCAAGCTTCGCAGGAGAAGAGTGATCCGCTTTGCGATCCTCTACTTTTCCATGGTCGTTCTTTTTGTCGTGTTGATTGCTGCCCCTATCATTGCTGGCTCGTACATCCCCAGCAGCTTGACAAGCAGCATCCCAATGGAACTCTTACAGCCAACTGGACAGGATAATGACAATACGCTGAATGAGACCGAGACTGGAACAGGTGCTCAATCATACCACGGTATCGCAGCAACCGGAACGGCTTCCAGCACGAAGTCTTCGAACAAATTTCGATTTGTTTAGATACTAGTCTTTTTTCCACTAGGGGGCGTCATGTTATAGACAGCACGAGCACGTGCGGTTGTTTTGTTACCGCAAATGCAGGTAATCTTGAGAGTACTTTGTATTACTGGTATTGCGGCATGGTATATGGCCTTTCTTTCGTTATACACATCTAGAGTCTTATGGCATTGTTATATGGTTTACGGGTTTCATCTCTCTTTTCCTCCCTGTTGTGTCTCGCAAGATAATGAGAAAATGTGTTTGCGAAATGTATGAATTGCCACATTGGCCTTGATTTATCAAGGAGCACTGTATGCCTCCTAAGCTGCAGCTCAAAATGTGTTGTACTGTCACATATATGTGGTTGGTATCAAGACCACTGTTGAGGTTTGCCTACCTATATACCTAGCTCGCTATTGAGTTGATGATTGACTACCTATTTTGTACGTGCCCATGCGGTTATATCAATATGCATGACCTTGACCGATAGCTGCAAATTGTTCAAAGACGATATTTCAAAAAAAGCTTCCGTGTTCCTCCGATTTGGATGTATGGAGAAGGGTCGTTTCGTTTCGCCCATGCGACCTCTCCAATCATTCTCCATTCCAAAGATTTTCTAGTAGCCGCCAGCTTCCATCGGTTTATGGCACGAGAGAACTAGAGACATGGTACCTCGAATGACAAGAGTTGCTGGGTGAAGTGCATTTCACCTGCAGCTGGCGATGCGTGAGCTACGACTACCCGCCTAGTATTCATCTCGGTTGCAAATCGACCATCCTACCTACATTATGTATGTAGCCTGCTCGGCGCGTAATGAGAAAGGTAGGGTGGTGGTGTACATCATGTAGGAGGTAGGTAGGTAGGTAGGTAGGTAACGGGCTTGAGGCACAGGAAAATGTAATTTTAGAGTCGACAATTAGCGTGTATTATTAGGCTACCTTTACGGACCTAGGTAGATTGCTAGCGGCTGCTTCAAGGCCCAACCAGCATTCAAGCCAACATCAACCGGTTGCTTTCAATTGATTGACCAATGGATCGACGACCCCCTGATGACCAACTGACTTGATCAAAAAGTCCGAGTCCGCTTTGATTCGCCGCGTCTTTTCAGTCAGTCTGACCCTTCTCACCGTACCTAGATTACCTGGGATACCTACCTCTCTGCTTGTTGCTTGCTCGCATTCTGGAGTCGTGGTCGCATTGCATTTTATTTGCGCATTGCATCGCGTCGCGCCTAGTAGATACGGAAAGAAAACGCCTTGGGTCAGGACTATCGACCACATACTCCCCGACACGCCTTTCGAGTGTCTACATTACTACACTCTGATTCTAACATACAGACCTACCGACAGGCAGGCGGGCAGACATACAGAGTTATTCAAGAAACTTTCGCAGTTCGCAGTCGTCATCGCGGAGGATAGCGGCCATCTATCCATCTCAGTCTGTCCACTCTGCCTTCCCGCCGCTGCGAGCCAGAACGATTTGCAGTAGGGCAACTGCTCTCCGGTTCCCTCTCCTCTCCCTTGGTGCGATAGATACACTGAGCAGCCATGGATTTTCACGACGCGCAAGCCCGCCTCGTGGCCTCCCTTCACGATGTGTCCGAGGCTTTTCAGAAAATTCCTGGCAGCGCTGTCCTGATTCGATACATCCAGTCCAGCTACCAGAACGATCCCATCCGCTCCGCCATTGAGCTTGTTCTGGTCATCTTCTTTATCCGCTATCTACTCTCGCCCTCGTACCCGACTCACGGTCCCAACTATGTCAAACTGAAGGAGGAGGAAATCGACGAGCTCGTCAACGACTGGGAGCCCGAGCCTCTGGTCGCAGCCCAATCCCCATTCGAGGAGATCGAGGCTGAGAAACTGCCCGTCATTGTGGGGTACGTAGACGCATATCCGACTAGAGCGCTGTGGGAAAAAGGAAAAAAAGAAGAAGAAGAAGGCCTCCTTGGAACAACGCCTAGCTGGCTGGTTGTCTCTAATTACCTGACTGAACTGGTTTGAACTGACTGACTGACTTGCTTGCGCAGTCCGACCGGGCCGAAGTCCAAACTATCCAACGGCAAGACGGTTACCAACCTCGCCGCCTACAACTTCTATAATTTCAATGCAAACGAGCAGATCAAGGACAAGGCTATTCAGACACTGCGCACGTACGGCGTCGGCCCTTGCGGCCCGCCACAATTTTATGGCACTCAGGACGTTCACATGAAGACGGAAGCCGACATTGCGGCCTATCTGGGCACAGAGGGCTGCATCGTCTACTCACAGGCCTTCTCGACCATCTCCAGTGTCATTCCCTCCTTTTGCAAGCGTGGTGATGTAATCCTTGCCGACAAGCAGGTCAACTACTCGATCCGCAAAGGTCTCGAGATCTCTCGAAGCCAGGTCAAATGGTTCAACCACAATGACATGGAAGATCTGGAGAGGATCATGAAGCAGGTTGTCCGTGATCAGTCCAAGAAGAAGTTGACCAGAAGGTTCATTGTTACCGAAGGTTTATTTGAGTTGGTTGGTGACTCTACCAATCTGCCAAAGCTGGTACGTGCAAGTGAAACAGACAAGAAAGACAGGAACATGAATTCTGCGCGTACTCCCTCGATAAACTCCAAATGTCTGACCATGCATTTCACTTGCTCACTCGCTCTTTTACCAGGTCGAATTGAAGGAAAAGTACAAGTTCCGGATCATTCTGGATGAGACCTGGTCTTTTGGCGTCCTGGGCCGCACCGGACGAGGCCTGACCGAGGCTCAGAATGTGGACTCTTCACAGATTGACATGATTGTAGGATCGCTGGCTGGGCCACTCTGCGCCGGTGGTGGTTTCTGTGCCGGCGGACGCGACGCCGTCGAGCACCAGCGCATCACAGCCGCCTCGTACACTTTCTCTGCAGCCCTGCCGGCGATGTTGGCCGTCACGGCTAGCGAGACGCTCAACGTGCTGCAGTCGAACCCCGAGATTTTGACCCAGTGCCGCGAGAACATCAAGGCCATGAGGGCTCAGCTGGATCCCCGCAGTGACTGGGTCAACTGTACCAGCTCGCCCGAGAACCCCATCATGCTGTTGGTGTTGAAGCCGGATGTGATTCGGTCGAGGGGCCTTAGCTATACAGACCAGGAACGCATCCTTCAGGACTGCGTCGATGAGGTGAGTGCTGAACCGCTCAAACGGGCGGATTGGGGCTTGGTTGCATGGCAGCAAAAGTTGATTGAAACTGACTGTATATGTGTGCATCAAAGACATTGAACAACGGTATTCTCATCACTCGCCTTAAGAGCTTACCATCGGTGAAGGCTATCGGCACGCCCAAGGATGAGACATGGGCGATTAGCCCGGCGCTGAAGGTTTGCATCACTTCGGGATTGTCTAAAAAGGAAATTGAGAAGGCTGGTGTCACGATACGGCACGCCATCACCAAAGTCATGACCCGAAAGACCAACAGACAGTCGTCACTTGTGGCATAGTAGTTGTCAAGGCGCGGGCTGGCTGGCTGGACACCGACAGGTCGGACGGCAAAGATATGCGGCGGCAGCAGCAGCAGCATGGATGATGGCCACGGCCGACTACCCTGCCCTACCTACACATACAATCAACAGTGCTCTCCTTCCTCGGCCCGGGCGCAAAGCAAGCAATCAAGGGTACCGGATTGATTGTATGACTGGAAGAATTCACAGATGAGCCAAATGTATAATGTGCGGCCTCGTGATTAATGATATGCAGGTCACGGCATTAGAACGGCAAAGCGGTGTGGCTTCACAAATAGAACCGCCGACCCCCGATTCATTATAATAATATCTAATTGAATAAAGAGATTGCAACAAGACACGAACTGACGTTGGGTGGAAGGGGAACAATGTTTGGCGGAGGGCAGTCATGGGCAGTGGCGCGGGCCAGTGGAGATGACGCTGGTTCGTTGATTGAGCTTGTGTTATTCAAGGCTCGCTCACATGACAGACATGCCCAGAGCCATCCATTTCTGCAGCTATTCCTCTGTGCACTACTCGGCGTAGCAAGAAACTCGACGAGACACAAGCAAGCAAACAAACAAACAAACAGAAATACGCACCGTACCCAAGTTGGGACTACAAAACCCCTCCCCATCAGCCAATTGGGCCAAATGAGATAGCCTCTCCAGCTCCCTCTCGGTGGACACCCCCCCCCCAGGCGCAGGACGTACATGAGACGGTGAGAGAATAGTCATCGGCGTTGCTTGAAATATGGATAACCTTAAATTGACAGTTTCCTTGTTGAGCATGCAGCTATAACCCAGCCTATTCGGAACAGGTCATTGCAGCTCAACTCGTCTTGCCTACATTATTCAATTTCTATCAACGTCGCCCCATCCCAGTTTGTTGTTGAAGAGGTTGTGATACTCAACTTTCGGCGCTTCCATAATTCGTCAGAGGGCAAAGAGAGCGTCATCACCAAAAGAATCGATCTAGCCGCTCATCTTCATCAGCCTCTGCAATCCCCTTCAGCACCCGAAAATCGTCTGTCTCTTCTGGCGCGCCGAGACCTCCGCATATTCCTGTCCTCTCGCATGTGGCACAGAAACATCCTCTCAGAAAAGCAGACCCATCGTTCGCTTCCTCTCGGCTCTGTATTGGCATTGTGCCTTTTTTGTCTTTTTTTTTTTTTTAAATTCTTCGTGCTGCGCCGTAGATGCGTCTCTTGCGTCATACTTGATCCCATCAACGCAGTTTGGTCCAGGAAAGAAGGGGGAGAAGAAGAAAAAAACTAAAAGCTCAAAGATCGAGAGATTACGCTACCTAACTGAGTAGGTCATTGTCACTCGCCCTTTTGAAGTCGTCTTTTCCCATGTTCCTCCCTCGATCCCTCCACGGGGCATGGCCAAGTTTTAACAGACAGACTTACTGGTGGTTCCTGGCCATGAGGTGTCTCACCAGTTTGATGACGGCGCCTCCCTGGTCAGCCCACCATTCCTTCACTCCTACGTCGAGGTCATCTTGGCTAGGCAGGTAGGAAGGGAGGACACATTCCATTACTCAGTCGGAATTTGATTGATCTGGCAATTGCCGGAGCTGCCATGGCCGCCGCATGGTCATGTCATTTTACCTACACACACAAAGCGCGCACGCCACCCCGACAATGCTCATTTCTTCCTTTGTCAGCCCGTTTTGTTACTCTCTGTTCGATATCTCCTTGCTCTTCTTCTTCTTCTGCTCTCTCTCTCTATATTCTTCGTCGCCCTACTCTAGACTTGGAAACGATGGGCCTCTAACCTTCCTTGAGTTCATTCCTTGTTGCTGTTGTTATTGTTGTCCTTTTTCTTCTTCTTCTTCTTCTTGTTCCCCGTGGCCATCTGACTGATCTTTAGTCCTATCTCGAGCTACTTACGATAGGTGTTTTCCTGGCCGGATTGTCTCGTGGAAGTTGGTTTGTCACCGTCATTTATTTTCTTGAACAGAAAAGGTCCCCTAATCCTGAAGGGTTGAAAGAGGAAAGAAGAAGCAAATAGGAAACGTCACAAAAAGAATTTCTACATTGAAGCGCAGAATAAGAAGAAGCAGAAGACATGATGAGAACCTTTCTGTCGTCTTTCGCAGTCCTTTCGCTGCTGCAACTTTCAGCCGCCGAGCTTGGTGAGTTGCTTTGGATTCTCTTTCCTCTCTGTCGTCGTGACGGGACTTTGGCTGACCCGGGACAGAACGACGCACCTCACAACAGCGACATGTTCATCGCAGGGCCTTTATTCCCAAGCAGGACAGGTTGACCGTAACTGATGCCTCGGTTGCCTCGCCCACCGAGCAGACAGAGATTGTAGTCTATCTTGACCAGTTTGGCAACCCCGTCCATACTGCGACCGAGACCGTCGTCCATGTCCCCTCGGCCACGTCGTCCATTGTTGGAGTTTCGTCGGTTTCCGTGTCTCTGGGGTCGCCGGCCGTCACCACGACCGTTCCTGCTGCCGGCGTTGCAGAGGGGGCGGCTGCCAAGAACCCTCCTACCACTCTGGTTCAGAGCGCCGCATCAGTTCCGGCTGCGCCAGCCTCTTATCCGGTTTCGTCGTCGTCCGCTGTTCCGGTTCCCGCCTCCGGTGGCAGTGGCAGTACCCTGCACGGTGTCACCTACTCCCCGTATACGGGCACGGGTGCTTGCAAGACGGCGTCTCAGGTCGATGCAGATTTTGCCGTCTTTAGCTCCGACCACGGAGTGGTCCGCCTCTACGGCGTGGACTGCGACCAGGTTGCATCCGCCTACGCCGCGGCCAAGAAGTACGGCAACAAGCTGTTCCTCGGCATCTTTGACATTGACGAGGTGGACTCGGCCGTGGCCACCATGGCCGCCGGAGTCAACAACGACTGGAGCATTGTCGACACGGTCAGCGTCGGGAACGAGCTCGTCAACAATGGTGCCAAAAGCCCGGCCCAGGTCATTGCAGCCGTCAAGCAAGCTCGGTCCGCACTACAGGGGTCCGGATACCAAGGACCCGTCGTCACAGTCGATACGTTTGTGGCGGCAATCAACCACCCCGAGCTCTGCGATGAGTCGGACTACTGCGCCGTCAACGTGCACCCCTTCTTCGACCCCAACACGGGTGCCGACCAGGCTGGCGCCTTTGTGACGACACAACTTGAGCGGATCCGCAGCAAGATGGCCGATTCCGGCAAGCGAATCGTTGTGACGGAGACGGGCTGGCCATGGAAGGGCGAGGCCAACGGCGCCGCTGTACCAGGCACGAATACCCAGATACAGGCGCTCTCCTCCATCAGGGGCTCCTTCACGAGCAATCCCGGCGACTGCATTTTCTTTACTGCATTCAACGACCTATGGAAGAAGGCGGCGCCTGCCACGTTCATGGCCGAGCAGTTTTGGGGAATGGGCGGTCGATATTCAGCTTCTGACAAATAGTGGACGTTATCAATCTTGTTTTTTTTTCCTTAAATTCTAAACTACTCCCCTTTTTATTTTTCTGCTCCTCCTTTTTTTTTCCTTTCTTTTGAAAGCCATGGGCATTTGCTCATCGTTTTGAGGAGAAGGGAGAAAAAAAGAAAAGAAAGAACAATCATTTCTTTTAGTTCACCTTTAATGATTATTTCTTGAATACCCGGAGTCCACGGAGTTGGTGATCGAATAGCTGAATTCATCTCTCACAAGAGAGCCTAGGGGTTAGATGGGACCAAGCCGGCAGGATTGCTCTTCATCTCGATGATGAGAAAATGAAAGACTACTGATAACAATGATGTTTGGAAATCGGTGAGATTGCGAAGCAGTTGGTTTTCTGGGACATGCTTGTGGTTTTCCCCTTTTGTTTCTTATAGGGAACAAAACTCATTTCTTGTGCAATGCCATTTCCGCCGCCGAGACGCATGTCCATTGGTTTGTTATTCCACTTCGAGATTCCACCTGATGGGTATGTCTCCATTGACACATTGCAGTTATATTCAATCAAATCTGACGAGCGATTATAAACTTGAATTTGGTTTTGCGTGTTCATATGTTATCATTGTCGGGTTCGAAACTACTTGAGGTCTAGTTGGCAAATTGCCCAGAGAGCAAAAAGAAGAAGACAATTGTAAAAAAAAAACTAAAAAAAAAACTGCGCGGCTTGGGGGAGAAGAAGAATGAGAGTGCAAGGGACAAACAAGACACCAAAGAGCAGTATAGTTTTGATTCAAGGGCAATTACAGCATCTATTACCTTCACGAGTATTGCCAATCTCTTCTGGGCAAACTCGTTGTGATTCATCCATTTGCGCCCTCGACAAACTGATTCTCCATCGGTGTGCCCATGATCATATTTTTGATGTTGTTCCTGGCACTCCACACAATATTCTCCGTGAAGCCCTTCTGGCGTGTGACACCGTCATTGAATATTGCCTGGATATCGCTATCGCCTGCGAGACGTCCTTTGGCCTTGTGATGGAAGAACAGAGGTGGAGTCACGCTGATGCACTTGGTATCTAGGCCACGGTCTCTCGCCGTGGAGGCATCTTTGGCTACGCCCACGGTCGAGACGGCGCGTCGGCAAAGGGCCGCCAGCGAGTTGTCAAAGGGTCCGACGAGATGGTCCACCGAGAGGTCAAAGAGTACCTTTCTCGCGCCCCGCTGGGAGAGGGCATAGGCAAAAGTGCAAATGGGCGCTCCGGTAATGTGAACCCACCGCGTGTGCTCAGGGTATTGCTTGAAGTCTATGAGGCCAGTCACCCGATTCTGCGGTGGCACAGTGGAATCGTTCTGAATCATGAACTTGCGCTGCATGTATACAAGCCCGGCATCGTCGAGGGGTTTTCCCTTGTTCTCGTCCAACATTTCTGGGAAGACTTCGCCACAGTGGCCCAGCCATAAAATGTCCCACTCGTCGCCGTAAGGTGAAGTCGAGTGCGAAGAAGAAGAAGAAGAAGAAGAAGAAGAGGAGGAGGAGGAGGAGGAGGAGGAGGAGGAGGAGGAGGAGGAGGAGGAGGAGGAG